TGTCATGGGGTAGGACTGGATAAGTCTGACTTCTTCCTACTCCATTCAAGCATGTACTAGGTATAAGCAAATTGATACTGGATCATGTGTAAAATTATGTGTGTTGTCATATCAACTGTTTTTACATGCTTGAAAGAATAAATCAAATCAAATCAAATAATTTAAGATTCAGTGCCACCTACTCTGTAAAACAATAATTGAATGCATCAGTAAACTCTGTGTGGTTCTTCCAAGTGCTTTTATTAGTTATTATAATTCAGCCTTAACACCTCTGTGTGTACACACAAAACTGTAATCCATCCATGCTTAGTGGCAAACATACCTGGAGCTTCATGACATCTCCACAGGCTGGAGCACCCACTAAGCCGGTCCCAACATTCTTGGAGTTTTTGTCCAGTGAGCCCACATTTCTCGGGTTCTCATAATGATCCACCACCTTCAAATAGAGAAAGGAAACAATGTGTCGAAGTGAGTTTCAGCAAATTGTCAAGAGTAATCTACAATACAATGTGAAGAAGCCATTTAGATCATTTCTGCAGGGTATGCCAAGTTACATGTAAGACTTTTAAAGTCCTTTTAAATATCACATATAAAGCATAGCCTGCAATACCTTTAATATCTGTTTCAAGTATAGTGAAATATCAGCAGGGACAAATAGTCTAGAATAACCACATTTTATTCAGTATTTCCCAGCAGTATGTAAAAATGATATAACAATAATTACCGATTATGTAAATCATTAAGTTAATGCAAGATGACAGATGCACGTCGTTTATCATACACTGGCTGGCTGGATTAACGTTATTGAAAAATGACAATTAAATTCAAAGCAAGAGAAATGTAAGACGTGTAACACTCCACAAAGCCTCAGAAAACTGAATGTAGTAATGTTGAAGATATGCAAGACTTGCAGATATTCTGATATATTATTAGCTTGTTGTGATTAACCCTAGCTAACGGTATATAGTTAACTAGCTCCATCTAATTACGTGAGCCAGGTACTTCAAGCTAACTATACTATTAGTAAATACCAGTCACACAGCAGCCAGCACAATGACACCCTACAGAACCTTAGTGAAGCTACAGAGACGACGTTTACCTTCTTGTGGTAAAAGCACTGAGTAAATTCCGGAGCAGAGAGCCTTCTGGTGAGGAAAGCCAGAGGACTGAAACATTTGCTTGCCACTTTATCCGCCATGTTGACCAGAAGTATGGCGCAGCATGAAAAAAGTTCCTGCATATGTCACTGTGGGGGGCGTGGCTACACATCCACATGCGCAGATTATGTAAACAGCTATATTGTTAGCTGGGGGTGGCATCTCTTCATAGGCTACAACTTTGGTGAAAATTCATTTACCCGATTTCATTTCAAGCTGGGCTGCAAACAGCGATCATCATCATTATCCATCAATCGACCAATTATCTCTTTGAATAATAGATTAATAGTTTGTTCTGTGAAACGTTGAAAAAAAAGCTAGTCAACAACTTGTCAGAGCTGTCTCATGTTGACAGTTCTTTCTGTTGCATAACTGCATCATATGATTTTTAGGGAACTACATAGAAATGTTTACCTACAGTAATGGAAAATGAAAAGTTGGACTCCTTAATAAATTAGCAGAATCTGACTATTGTGATGATGCAGGCATGTATTTAACTTAAATAAAAAAAAAATAGGCAGGAATTCTGGGCCCCCATAATATGACTTTTAAAGGTACTGACATTAGTTTCAAGGCCTTGATGGTGGGGAAATCTCACAGAAAACATCCACTAACACTTAAGCACTTCTGGACTAGATGTTTTCACAGTCTGAAACATGAAAACAACATGTGGAACATGCTAAATTATGCCACCAAAAAAGTTCCTATAAATTCCTATAAATGACTATGATTTCACCACTAATAAACTGTGTGGTTTAAGTTTTCTAAGAGCTATTCATGTAATTAATCTACCAAACAATGTCATGTTAAACAGAAGTGAGGGACTGTTTTATTAGGATTTCTATGTGTGTGTTGATTTGATGGTGGGCGATGAACTGTATGATGGATTTTTGACATTGTCTTTTTTAACTACAAATCTATAATTTAAAATAAATATATTAAATCGATGACTTTGACCTAAGGTTTTGCCCTCACTACACTGAGGCCCTTGGTTAATAAAAGTGAACTGACAGTTGTGTGTATGAAGGGGATTTTCTTTGTGACACTGCAGTAGTTTTTCCACCTAGGTTGTTGTAAGACTTAAAATGCCCATTTAAAATAATTAGAAAAAATGCATTTTTCAGTTACTTTAACTTCTGTGTACAAGTGAGCCATCTTGAAATGCTGAAAGTAGCCTCACTTATCCTATCAGTAAGTTAGAGGAGGGGAGATTCTCACTGGTTCCATTACATATCTACTAAGATTGTTTTCCTCATTTTCTGTGGTGACACTGCCCAGGAAACAGAAGTGAGAACTTCAGCAAGTGACTCAGTATAAAGCCAATAGCGAATGATTTCACATCGAATTTTACGTGAGTACTTAAATATATTTATTTTTTTAACAATCTCAAATATATTTTCTTAATACAATGCTGTTATATGTGTATAGGTTTATAACAAAAGACACTGTGCTTAATATTACAGGTAAAGTAACAAAAATGGATGTGGATTATATTGAATATGAAGATTACACTGCAGGCAATGAAACTGAGAACACCACCGTAGCTGGTCTTCTGAATGTCAGCAGTTCTCGGTCTTCTCTGACACCTGTTCTGGTGACAGTCAATATTCTTATATCTGTTATTGGCCTTGGAGGAAATTCATTAGTAATCTGGATCTGTGGTTGGAAAATGAAAAGAACAGTCACCACCACCTGGTACATCAGTCTAGCCATTTCTGACCTTTTGTTCTGTGCCTTTCTGCCCCTGGAAATTGTTTATATGATAACCTCACACTGGCATTTTGGTCTGGTCTTGTGCAAGCTCACCTCCTCCATGCTGTTTCTCAACATGTACAGCAGTGTGTTTCTTTTGGTTCTCATCAGCACTGATCGCTGTATAATGGTTTCTTTTCCTGTTTGGTCAAATAATCACCGGACAGTGCAGAAGGCATCTGGAGCTGTCGTCCTCATGTGGCTCTTTTCTGCACTCCTAACGTTGCCCTCACTGCTCTTCAGACAAATCACAGTCCGTGACTCAGTCACTCAGTGTTATACAGATTACAGATACAATTACAAGCACAAGGCAGTGGCACTAACTCGATTCATCTGTGGGTTCCTGATTCCCTTCCTAACAATTGTTTTATGCTGCTCCATCCTTGGTGTGAAGCTGAGAAGTATGACTATCAAGTCAACAAAGCCTTACAAAGTCATGGCGTGGCTCATCTTGTCGTTTTTCTTCTGCTGGGTCCCCTACCATACCTTTGTCCTTCTGGAGTTAGATATTAAAAACCACAGCCTGGAAGTTCTTCAAACTGGTCTGAAAGTTGGGGCCACCCTGGCTGCAGCAAACAGCTTCATATCACCAGTTCTCTATGTTTTCATTGGTAATGACTTCCAACAAACCCTAAAGCGGTCTTTGATGTCAAGGATAGAGGAAGCAATGGTGGATGATTTTCGTACAGGTGGTTTTAGTCACTCAAGGTGTAAATCCATGCAAATTATGTGAAAATAGGTTGAAACATTTGACATCAATGACAAGCAGTACAGAACATGATCATAGAACTGGGGGATATTGACAAAGTCATGTCATAGCATGTTTAATCTTGAATGTGTATCGTAGGTCATACAGTAATGTATATGTATATGTGCAGGATTTCTTTAACATGATAACACCTCACTGACTTTTACACAATATCATATATTTACATGATTGGACTACATATTTTTCAGTTATGGATTGGCCAACTCTATTGTTTTTGTGTCATTTCATTTAAAAAAATCTCTTTTTTGTTTGTATTTTTCAATAATTATGTGTGAATAAATTGCTTGTGTGTTGTTATAAACTCAGGAAGTAATACACCTAGCTAAAATGAATGCAGTCTCATACAAGATTCCTGAAATATATCTTTCCTTCATGAAAATTATTTCCTTACTGTTAATGTTGTTAAAATCAATGTATGGTTACTATTTACAGTAAAAAGTCAATAACATTAAATCTGCTTCAAATATTTCTTTATCAACAATGAAAAAATACAAAATGTATAAAAAGAGTAGCTCATATAATAATTCTTTTTTGCAAAAAACAACCAAACCAAACAAACAAACAAAATTCTGCAGGCCTACTGTAATACCTGCCTGTACTACCTGCCCACAAATACTAAGAGTAGTAGCTATTTTTCTAAGGATTTAATGGAGGCTAAAACAAAACTATAAGGTAATTTGAAGTGCATATAGGGCTTACATTCACCTTGAGGCAGAAAAGAAACGACCCCAAATGCCTGAAAATACTGCTCTGTGTCTGTTACAACAGTTTCACAAATTCACTACAATCAGCTTTATATGCTGAATATGTTAGTGTTGAGTTCACACTTTCTTGTGCTGCCCCCAAATGACTAAATATATTGTCAGGTTTAAACTTCTGAAAACTGAAAATGTTTGATGCAAAAACTTGGGAGTAGGCAGCAGTCATAGGTTATGTGTGCTGGCGTTGGGGTCAGGTTAGCCATTATAAGACATGAGTCGTTAAGGATTAGAAATTCGTTCAAATTAAGGTAAGGGAAACACGTATGTAAGGGGGATACAAGCGTCACTTCCATCAGAATCTACTCTCTGGTCTTGTGATCTAATGCAAATCATAAAGATGGTCGAGGAGTGGAGCTTCAAGGTGCGGGCTCCTGGTAGAACAAATTCAGGGCAACGTAATACACGTAGATTGTGGCCACGCCCCCACCGTCCCCTCAGGATCAACTTCCGGTTAGTGGTAGCGCCGATGTGTGATGCAACAAATTGTAAGGAAATTTTCCCAACTTCTCATAGCAAGTTACGATTTTCACTTAGAAATTATTATGATCTGAGCGACAGTTTGGTTTTACGCATTTGTATTTCTTGTTCGTTCCTTTGTGTTATTTATCTTAAGTCTTCTTCGCTTGCTAACGTTAGCAACTTCGTAACGACACCCATTTGGATGGGAGCTAACTAGCAACCGA